TGCCTCAGCCTCCAGAGTAGCTTGTGACTATAGGTGTGCTCCACCATGCCCAGCTAATTTTTCTTTTTCTTTTTTTTTTAGTAGAGACAAGGTCTCGCTCTTACTCAGGCTGGTCTCCATCTCCTGAGCTCAAGTGATCCTCTGTCCTCTGCCTCCCAGAGTGCTAGGAATACAGGCGTTAGCCACCTTCACTTGGTCCTTATTTCAGGGTCTCTGATTAGTGCTTTTAATCCAGTACAGTCAGGTAACTAAAGGTTCATAGAAGAAATTATGTTTTATGAAATCAAAGTGAAGAAAAAAACATTTCAGCTTGGGATCATCCCATCCCAGAAAAAGACTGAGAAAACAGTTTATAAAAAGCAAGATCATATAATCAAATTACATTCATAAGGCCCAACACTTAGTAATAGAAATACATAATATATGCAATATAAAAATAATTCTTACCATTTATTCAACACCTATCATTTCCCAGGCACTGTGCTAGATGCTTTACAATCATGATTTCCAATTCTAAAAACCATTCTTAGGTAGATAGCTAAAGCTGTATTGTTAGTTTTGTGTTTTTTAAAACAGAAGAAGAAAATGAAGCTTATTAAAGCTGAATGACTTATCCAAGGCCATACAGCTCATAGGTGGCAGAACTGGGGTTTTAACCACACCACACAGCACTTACTGTATAGAAAAGTAGCTGAATGAATGGCTTTGTTTTAGACAAAAATCACATGTAAAAGACCACACACAGCCCACAAGACTCAGATAGCAAAATATATATCTCACAAGATAAAAAAAAAAAACAGAAAATCCATTGTGTTTTTATCATGAGTTTGGAAAACAAAGTGTTATCACAGATAACAATTATAAGCTATTCTTCTCCTCAGTTCCAAAGATTCAGAATCTGTTACTCAGAACAGGAAGCACTCTGACTCAAATATAAAACTAGTATACTAGTCACAAACACAAAGATCTGAAACCCCATTTTGGAGCCATTTCTGTATGATAAGAATCCAGCCTGCATTTGTCAGTGATAGAATATTAAACTAAGAAGTCCCCGAAGATGTCACAGTGTTGACAAAATTCAGCATGATGGTGGAGTCTACACAAACATAGGAAACAAAGCGCGGCCCTTCCATACAGCCCAGCTGTAAAGTCTTTGTGATGATTTCTTTTTAGGTCAATGTCTCTTCGTGCCGCACATATTCTCCAATGTCTGCTTGATGAAATACCACAATCGCCATGGGGTCTACTTTTCTGCAGTCTTGTGTAGATTTTGCTGCCACCCCAAAATCCAAAGGGATGTCTGCCATGGAGTATACCACCACACCCTGGTACTGAGAAGTATTTTCAGTGATTCGACCCAGACCAGATTTCAACACATGGTTCCCATACAGGAAGGACTGTTCTGCTCCAGGCTTTATCCACACTTTATACTTGGCATAGGGTGCAAGGTAATCCAGAGCTGTGATGTGCAGCCGAAACTTGTGGGTCTTAGTGAATTTTCCGAAGCAGGTCCCCAGCGACACCAGCTTGTCCCCGGAGATATTGGCGGCCAGCTTCAGGATCTTCTCACTCACGTAGTACACCCGGTCGTTGTGCAGCCTGAAACAGTAGGTGCCGTCAGGCCTGTCGACCAGCAGCTGAAGATTCTCCCCGATGTATTTGGCGATCTTCTCAAACATTACACGGGTTTCCTCTTCAGTCAAAGGCCGCATTTTCCCGCTGGGCTGGAGCCCCGGATCCTCGTGCCTCGGTAGCCGGAAACGGAAGTCGACCGCCGGCTGCTCCCTGGCAACCCCAAAGCCTGCCTTTCTAGCCCCATTTCACGCTGCCGCCTTTTTTATCTTTTCTAAAAAAAATAGGTATGGAAAGTTTCAACGTTTCTTAACCACTTCGGTACCAGCGTCGACTATAGTCGACGGCCACAGATGAATGCGCACAGCGACTTTAGCCGTGATATGACTTTTCTAATTTTTCATTTATCGAAATAAAATTGCAAACATTTAAAAGTAACGTAATGAGAACATGTATGTATATGTTGCCTATTCTGATGTACATGACAAGTAAAGCTGCCTGTAAAGTAAAACAAGCTTTCAGTGCTTTCAAGCTTTCCTCATCGCACAGGAGCAAAACGGATTTGTCGTCAACGCACAGCACAAGCTGCCGTGCGGACTGTGCGTGCCGGCTGTGGGCGAGGCTTCGCGGCCGGTGAGCCCCGCACCGAAGTGGTTAAAAACACTCAGACGCCTAGTGCTGATGAGGCTGCGCTAAAACGGTCATCAGTTGCTGATGGGAGTGTTGGAGCAGAGACGGGTCTCGCTCTTGCTCGGGCTGGTTTTGAACTGCTGACCTTGAGCGATCCTCCCACCTCGGCCTCCCAGAGTGCTGGGATCGCAGGCGGGAGCCACCGCGCCTGGCCTGAACCTTTTCTTAATTAAAGTCACAGCATGGAGAAGAGGAGACACTGCCGGCAAAGGCTGGTGAGGGAGCCGAGGGCGGGGACCGTGAGCAGCGACAGCCCTCAGGAGTTTAAGCTGAAACTCACCATGCATGAAACTCCCAGGACAGAACCCTCCAGATGGCGTGCAGCATTTTCAGAAGGAGCCCACGGGATCCGGCAGAGCCGAGAAGCTGTCCCGAGGGCCTGCTCGCTGGCCCGGGGAAGACTGCACGGTGAGCTTCAACCCGGACAAGAGCGTCTGAGGGTTAAAAATGTCACTCTGCACCCTGACAGCTCAGGACAGCGTCCAGGGGGCTTCTAGCGTTCCCAGAACAACCAGCCCAAACCACTTTAAAGGCTCAAGAAACCTTGGTTATTCCCAGCGGGAAGCAGAAAAGACAACCCCATTGTAATAAAAAAACCGCAACCAACCCAGCCTTCAGGTTTAGCCGTAGCCTCTTAACAGAGACGTTCTGGAACTGGGAAATGCCCAAAAGTCTGTTCCCAAAAGGACAGAACAATGTCTCATAACACGGAACAGGCACCAGGGACCTGAGGGACACCCCGGGTCTGCCCAGCCCTCACGGAGGCCGGGGAGCTGCTCCGGCTGTGGTTCACGTGGGGCAGGTGCATCGTACCACAGGTGCCAGGTGGGGGTCTGCGTGCCAGTGGCTCTCGGGCTTGGATGCCCTGAGATCAGATCAGATTCAGGTGTGCCTGGGTGACTTAACCAACAGGAATTTATTTCTTTTTCTCTCTTTTTTTTTTTTTTTTGAGACAGAGTCTTGCTTTATTGCCCAGGCTAGAGTGCCATGGCATCACCCTAGCTCACAGCAACCTCAAACTCCTGGGCTCAAGCAATCCTGTTGCCTCAGCCTCCCGAGTAGCTGGGTCTACAGGCATGTGTCACCATGCCCAGCTAATTTTTTGTATACATGTTTTTAGTTGGCCAATTAATTTCTTTCTATTTTTAGTAGAGACAAGGTCTCGCTCTTGCTCAGGCTGGTTTCAAACTCCCAACCTTGAGCGATCCACCCGCCTCGGCCTCCCAGAGTGCTAGGATTACAGGCGTGAGCCACCGCGCCCAGCTGGTGATGATTTCTTGATTTTTGCATTGTTTTTAGGAAAAATGTAGTAATAATAAATGTAATCACCCAACCAGAGAATAAATTTCAACAAAAGGTCTCTCTAGTTTCTTCCTCAATCCTTCAGTAAATCATTCTCCTCACCCTACCATAGTCTTCCTGATAGTCTCTAATGAATGTCCTGCATCAAAACAAAACAATGGATCTAACAATTTAGAGCTTTCACCTACTTAAAACTATTAGGACAAGCAGGGAAACCCAACATAGAAGTAACACATTTAAAAATGCCCATCTATGAGCTTTCACCAGTAACGGCTACCAGTGCTTCTACATCCAATCTCCTGTATGTGCTAGTGCAGCATTCAGGAAACAGTACCCCAATAACATGGACACATGTACTGCTTACTGCTCTAAAATACTGCCCAATTTTTTATATTTTCAATGTTTGAAACACCTCGTTCTTTTTAAAAAAATCATTTCACAAACAGAAACAGGTTTTATTATCTTTTCTCTTTGTGAAATGAAACTATCTAAGATAGCACTTAGTAAAAATGTATTAAATCTCTTTATGTCAAAGTTTAAGATATACTGAATATATCTTAATAGGATAAGCTACTCATAAAATGCTATTTTAAATTGTTCTATATTATCTCCTACCCTACCAGTATTATGAGAAAGTCCTTTAACATACTAGGTCTCAACTAACAAAATCTCACATGCATGAAAAAGCAATTTGGTTTTTCACAATGATGATAATGATGATGAGATGATCTCACTCATTTAATTTTACCGGTGCAATAATATTCACACTGTAAGTCAGTCAAACTCATACCTTTAATGATATAATATGCAAGTAAATATCATTTAAAAAATACTTTCAAAACTAGAAATCGACATGAAAAATACTGCTTTCTCACTGCAGTGCAATCTCAGCAGGCCAAAATTCAAAGCAAGAACAATCATTTTGCAAAAGACAAACATTTATATCATATAAATATTAAGTATTCCTCTGACTTAATACCACATCCATCAAATAGTAAATGACCCTATACATTTAAAATGAATAGTCCTAAATCAGAACGAGAATACTGAATTTTATGGTTCACTTACCTGAACCTCACTTGTCCTCTGTTTAATAGTATCTTCTTTCTCCTTAAGGTCCTGTTCCACATTATTTTTTTCCCTAGAAGACCAGCAAACAATGCAAGAATATTTGAGAACATCAGCTACAGCTGGTATGGTTATCCATCCTCCTAATCCTGAATCGCTTTTTAAATACATAGTGAAACATTCAATTTTTAAATGAAGGGCAGATTTTTCTACCCTCTTCTAATTATTTATGGAATAGAAATCAATATAAGCTCTGTTTGTAAAAAAAATCGCTTTCTCACTAAAATGTGGTGAAAAAAGAATAGATTAAAAAAGGAAGAGGAGAAAAATAATCAATGAAACACTCAGGTTTCACTGATCTCACTGTTGCTATGGAAATACTGTCCAATGAAAATTTTTGGTCAAGAAAAGGAGGGGTTGCATCAGCTCTGTAAGGTTAACCCTTAAGTATCACTGTCAAATTAAATGAAAATGGCTAATAGAAACAGTCAAGAATATTAAGGAAAAAGACATTTATTGAAGTGTTAATTTCCCCTTAAATCACTGGTGTGCATCAATTTTGGAATGAAACAACATAGAGAAACTGGAAAAGATTGTTAATACACAGGCAATTTGCTCTATCAAATACCACATCTGGTCAAAAAAGCTATTTTAGGATCGCATATCAAACCTGATTGATTAAATATATAAAACAATGTATACCAAGTATAAAAAGAATCACAGTAGCATTTATCTCCTTTACTCTTCAAATCAAACATGCTGGGCTCCACTTTTACTTTGAAACATCATATTTAAATTCTTATATGCTTCAATCACACCTGGGTTCCTATGAATGAATCCTAATATACAGAATTACAAAATAAAGCTATTTCTTTTGATGTAACAAATTTAACTGCCCATTTGTACCGAAATCTCTCTCTCTCTTTCTCTCTCTCTCTCTCTCACACACACACACACACACACACACACACACACACACACACACACACACACACAGCTCCCTTCACTTTCTTTTCTACAAATAAGAAGAAAAAA